TTTTTTTCTTTTTTCTTTTTTTTTTTTTTGATAGTTAAAAGTATTTTTCATTTTTCTTGTTTTTTTTTTTTTTTTAAAAAAAAAGAGAAACTTCTCTTTCTTTTTTGCTTCAATGCTATCGAATATTTTTTTTTTTCTTGGACAACTTGGTAGAATTTTAGCTGACAAATATTGCTTAGCATGCAGAATTATAATTCATTCTCGTAAATTCTAAACTTGCAACAATGATTAGGCAAAATTTGAAAGATATTCTTAGACAATATTTGGATAATGATGATTTGGTTGCTGATAAAAAAATATATTTTAATTCAATGATAATTATTGTCAAAAAGCCAAAGTTACTTTTATCATTTCTTATCATTAGATGATGTTCATTAAATAATTAGATTCGATCAACTGGATCGAACACATTAAATGATTAGATCAGTTGATCGACTATTTTTTTTTTTTACCCCCCTTCTCTTTATTACTTAATAGCTTCTGACAAAACACTTTTTTTTTTTTTTGCGATGAAATTTAAGATAATAGAGTCAAAAAATCGGTCACCTCTAGCATCCTCATTTGCTTGCAATTTGCATCATCCATCAGATAAATATATAAAGCAAAATTTCAGTGAGGCAAAGTTAGGAAAAGCTTTATCAGTGATTAGTGTTTTTTTGTAGTTTTCCGAGTAAAAGGTCAAAGAATAAAAGAAAGATTAAAGAATAAAAATTATTTTATACTTTTAAATATTTGCTAGCTTTTGAATTTATCATAAATCATATTTCAGTTTAAACCAATGAATAATTTCTACCTGATTGGTTATTGGAGGCAAGTTCGAGAATTGATTATTTCATGAATATTATATTAAAAAAAATAATGGAATTGTTGCACTGGTGTCTCCTTATAATTCTCAATCTTATGATATCATACTCTTCCTATGACACATTTAAATTTGCATTGCATTCAGGGGCTATGCGCTATTTTGTCTTTCTCCGCCAAACCCCAAACCCTTTTCATTTCTTTCTTCTAAGATCTATAATTTCAAATAAATCATTTCAATAATGGTTTTTATTTACATACAGTTTGTTACTGTGCATTTGCCTGCTTACATCGCTTTTCCTGCAAATTATTACTGAAGCAACTTCTTTTTTTTCTTTTGTTTCATAACCTTTGCTTAACATTGGTTCATTTTACGGTATGATTAAATAAATAATGTCTGGTTCATTTTACGGTATGATCAAGTAAATAATGTTTGATTTATTTTACAGTATTAGTATTATCAAATAAATAATGTATCATTGTCTTTTTTTTTTTTTTTAAAATATTCCATGTAAAAATAGAGGTATAATTTTTATTCAATTATATCATTGATATATTTACAACCATTAAAATGCTATTAATCATAAACTTTAAATGCTAGAAATGAGATATGATAAATATGCGGTAATTAATGACAAAAGCTAAAGTAATAAATGTTCGAACGTTATCAATGTAGTATGATGTTAATGTTTATTTGTTTTTTTTTTTTTTTTCAATCTTTAAAAGAAACAATCCAAAAGAGGCACCTTATAGTATTCATGATATAAAAAGATAATGAAATAAATCGTTGTTTAAAAAAACATGATGAAAATTATTCGAAAGTGTAATAATTTCAACGGATTGATTTCTGGTAAATTTATAGTCTCAGTGTAACAATTTTAGCCTAGCTTAAAGAAATTGCACAAGTTTTACATACTTTCAAAGAGATGTTATGCATAGTTTAGTTGGTGTTCTTTTCAGTTATCCATCAATTCGATCATTTGATACCATTGATAACAATTGTAAAGCAGAATTTATCAACTACCTATCAAATCATTTTTGCCGATTAATTGATTACTGGATAATTTTTAGATGGAATATCTGTTGCAATATTTCCTTTTTTTTTTTTTTTTTTGTAAAAAATGATTATGATTCGATGGTAGTCAAGTTAGTTTTGTATATCCTAGATTAACTGCTTTTAATTCAAATTTATCACCTCAATGACGAACACATACAAGCCTTTACGTGGGCCTATCAATTATTCCCTTTCTTTCTGTTGAATATCATTCGACAAAATTATTAAATTCTAATTTTCCAAGAAAATTTAATTTCCATTCTTTTCTTTCTTTTCCTTTTCTCTAACAATAAAACGATTTTTTTTTTTTTCAAGGTGTTACTTAAGGATATACTCATTTTGTCGAATGTAAATAGCATTTTATTTGTTTGCAAAAATGCTGTCACCACAGTTTGATTAATTCTTTGAGAGCTTCCAGAGAGCTTGATGTTCCAATCCATCACTTCCTTTTTTCCTTATTTTTCAGTATCCTGTTTTGCAAACTCCATTCGTTATTTCGATTCAGTTCAACATTTCTCATCTTTTCATTTTGTGGATATGGTTCTAGATTAGAAGTATCTCCATAAGGTTTGAGTTTTCCCGGCTATCATTTATCATTTAACCCATACACAATTTGTTATGTCAATAATTTGAAATATAAATCGCGACTTGTCTATGTTGTATCTCGAAGAGATGCAACAATCAAGCATTGTTATTCGCAATAGAGTAGACTGATCTATGTGATAAGGATGAACCAAATAGTTAGATGATTTCGAGCATTTTATGATGAATTCCCTGGAGAGCTTTTCCCAATTTGTAAAATACTAGTTGTTAAAATGTAACAGGGTAGATTCGTCTACCGCGCATTTATATAGGTAGTATTGGGAATAAAAAAATCGCTAAATATAAATCAAGGTTTTAAACATCAGCAAATAATTCCTCGTATTTTTATGGAACACTTGGAATGTAAAAAATATTTTGTAACCTAATTCCTTAACCCAAAACTGGATGTAGAATACTGCTCATTAACTGAATATATCGGAAGGAGCCTAATGATGATACGATGGTATTCAACCACTGTTTTCACCAGTACCTGATGAATATGATCATAGATCCTAAGAAATTTTCCGAAGTTTTCCAAGTCTAATTCACTCATAGTTACTATCTTCAATGCAACACATCCGGACAAACAAACAAAATTCGGAACAGTTCTATGGCTGTAAATAAATGTTTCCAAGAAGACGAATATGATATGAGGAAGTTGCAATCATAGATTAAGAATATCACGAATATATAGAATAAAACAAAGATTGGTGAGATTATCAAAATTGCATATGTAAAGGAGAGTTTGAGTGAAACAAAGAGTGAATAAAAAGGTTATACGATGAATATTGGAGAATTTTTTGGAAGAATGCAGATACTTTTTAGTAGTTAACATTGAGACAAATAATTGAAAAGAAAATAGATTTTGTTTCAGGTAAAGAAAAAAAAAGTTATTTTTTGCCTATTAAGTTTCATAATATTATTATCGTTACCTGCCAATTTATGAATAAATATATCCCATCCTCCGCACTGATAATCAGAAACAAAACATCCGGACAAGTAAACAGAATCCGGAACAGTTCTTTGGTTGGAAATAAATGTTCCCCGGGATGGTCGATAGCATTTAAGGAAGTTGTAATTATAAATTGAGGATAGCATGAATATATAGGAGGATACAAAGGTTGATGAAATTATCAAAATAGTGTATTACGTGACAAGTTTAAGTAGTTATTAAAGAGAAAAAAAGATAGCATGGTGATTAAAGAGGTGATAGAGAATTATAGGGTTTGCGAAATGACTTCGGTTGATGTTGGTCAACCATAAATCAGGTTTGGGGTGCATTTTGCCAAAACCTTTCGTAGATCATAGATTTAAATGGAAATACTTCATAATTCTGGTATGATTAGTGGGTCAAATAATTGGAAATTGGCAGTTCATATTTAAATAAAAATAACATTTTAGCTCAAATTTACCATAAACAGTGATATTTGTGATTGTGTTTTTCATTTCCGATAAAAGATGTATTGCTAAAATTTGCTCACATATATTCTCCTCCATTCTTTTTTTTTTTTGTTTTCAGGCATTATGCCCAGCAAGACAAATGGTGCACCAAATGGAACGGCGGAACGTTCGTTTGTCAACTTCGATCCGGATGATCCAGAGTATATCAAGGAATTGCAAAGGCCAGCAGCGATTAAGGTTGCTTTTTCTCGTAAAATTAATAATTTAATCTGTTAAAATGATTTTTCGTTTAAGAGGAATTAGCAGCGCTTCGATGATTGAATCCGATATATTTATTAGTGTCATCGTAATATAACTTGGGTGTAATGAAATCTTCAAAGTATGCTTATTTTTGTGCTCGTTTGTAATATTGCTTGTTTGTCTGCCTCTGTGTATGGATGTGCTTTTATCTCTTTGTCAATTCACAATAGGATAATGGCAGTACTGTTGTTGCTTAAGGAAGATAATACTGTAATTAATTGCAGGAAGATTTATCGGAGATGGAAAGGCGAAAACGGGTGCAAGAAGTTTTGGAATCAAAAAGTTTCTGCAGAGAACTAGAGGAATTAATTAAACAAGAGAGTGAAAGTCACAAAAGTGATCCAGATCATCTAAAAACTTTACAACGGCTTTCTGAACTTACCCTTCCTCATGGCCAAATTGCGGCGTCCAGTCTTCATAATATTGGTAATCTTTTCGAATCATGATCTTTTTCGTTGTGGCGAACGGAAAACTGAATTGTCACTTTTAACAAACATTGAAACAACGGTACTCTATTCATAGCAGAATTATTAAACTAGTATTATCAAGGCCTAGTTCTAATATAGTGACGGGGTTTCGTTTTTACTATCTTCTGTTTTCATGGCATCGGTATCATTTTCTCGTATAAAATGATCAATTTTTAAGGAGTTGGAGCTGTGTTACCCATTGCCGATCTCAAAGGAAGTGGTAGTTATACACGGACTGAAAAACTATTCAGAAATAAATTAGCCTCATTGTATCGTTTAGTGGATCTTTTTCAGTGGTCGCAAGGAATTTACAACCATATCACAGTAAGGATTATTATTTTTCTTTTTAACACTTATTTAAGAAACAATTTTGAACAATCTGAGCATGCTCGAAGTACTGTTTGTGGGTTCTGGTCTTTGGAAATTTCAGTTTAATTTGACCGTTTTAGAATAATTACTCAGGTTTTGCTGGGTACCTTATCCATTACTGTCTTTATAAACGGTCAGTTGTTAAGACCTTGTAACATATGCGAATTGCACCATACGAGCATATACATTCATTAATTAAATTATGGCTAATCGAAAGGCAGTTGATGCTGTGCAATAAATTTATGAGCATTTTGAGGATTCTTCATGGTTTTCAGTTAAAATTGCCTGATTCAGACGAGCTATTAATTAACCCATTCGGATTGTTGTACCATGAAATTACCGCCAGTTCACTGATAAAAATCAATATTAATGGTGAAATCATTGATCGTGGTTCCACCAAATTAGGAATTAATCAGGTAAATATCCTTTTAGTTGTCTCCACTTTCATTGCACCTTTTCAATACTCATTTTGCTTGGACTCAACTGGCAATTAATTGTTCTCAGGCAGGTTATGTTTTGCACGCAGCAATTCACAAGGCACGTCCTGACGTGAGATGCGTACTACACATGCATACTGCTGTTGTTTCTGCAATTTCATCGATGAAATGCGGTCTTCTGCCACTCTCTCAGGAAGCAATGATCATTGGTCCTGTAGGCTATCATGACTATCAGGTATATTTTTGTTTCACACGTTCTACGTGCATTCGAATGAGGCAGTTGCAGTTCATTTCTGTTTAAAAATTTTTAGTGAAAGAAATAAAAGCATGTGTTTGCGCCCTATTTCAACTATTATGCAAATGCTGCATGAAACTCATTTTCCTATAATGAAAATTTTTCAGGGTATATTGGATGATGAGTCTGAAATGGAATCAATCGTCAAGGATCTTGGCGATAAAAATGTGAGTTTTGAATTTTTTTTTTTTGCTTCTGATGAAACAGAAGTCAGTGTGCGAAGTATTGATTAAAATCGTCCAGTCTTTGGGACATTATTTCGGATAGTGTTGAAGAACTCTCGTAAGTCGGATACAACTCTCCGAGACCTTCTGCTTTAGCAAGTCTTTTTCACTTTGACCTCATCTACCGAAGTTACGCAGCTAATCCTAGCAAAACGAATCGTCGTCTTATTTTTATCAGGTGCCAGCTATGCATGACAGCATGCGAAGTTTACTTATTATAATTGATACACACAGGCTTGTTAATAGTAAAAGATAATATGACCATTTTAACAATACGTGGATTACGGTTTTATATGAAGTAATCTAAATTGATTCGAACGACATCTTAAACTTCGTGTATGTAGGAGAATTTTATAATTTGATTGCATGTTGTGTTTTTTCTAGTTTTCTCAGTATTTTTAATCCGAATGAACGCTTGCTTATTCAGTGTGAAATGTTTGATGAGAAGTTTTAGGTAATGTTATTGCGAAGTCACGGATTTGTAGCATGTGGTGAATCTGTTGAGGATGCCCTCCATCTTGCTTTCAATACGGTCATCGCTTGTGAAACTCAGGCACGCCTGGCTTTTTGTGTTTTTTTTTTACAAAAACGGTATTGGTGGTAGTAGTCGTTTGAAGCACCCACTCATTTTTTACCGTATTTATTACCTTCTATTTACTAGTTTTGCAGGTAATAGTCATTTCATCACTTTCACATTTTCTCATTCTAAGATTATCATGCAGAAGGCAATATATTCTGTAGCAAACATTTTGTTTTTTTCCCCTTCAAAATTCGTAGTAGTAAAAACTTTTTCTATATATGGTACAAATGTGTTTGCAGACCACATGGGAAAGCTTATCAACGAATTAGTCTTATTTGAAAAACATTGAGTATAACTATTAAAATGTATGCCATTTTCCCGTTCTGCGTTTTTTTGTCGTGTTGGTTGTATTCAGCCATTATTTATCGTGGTTGCGTTTTGTCTTTAATCGAACTTTGTGGAAAATTATTAACTCTTGGAGAAGTCTGGAAACTTTCTCTTCATTGGTGGCTTTAGTGTTCTGCTGATTTTGGCACCTTATTGTTGTTTGATATGTGGGATTTTTCAGTATTTTTTATATTTTTGACTTCCTAAAAATATTATTTGCTGTTTGGTGTTGTTACTGCATTGCGTTAATAGTGATTACGTATTAAGGTATTGTGTCAACTTGATGGTGCATGTTTTCTTGTTTTTTTTTGGCTAGGAATACTTTTGAATGCTATGTTTTAAACTTGGATACAAGTCCCGTATTTCACAGCGTTGGTAAATGCTTCATTATTGCTTTTGATGTAGACAGGGATTTACTTTTACTTCCCTTGTTTGATTGTAAACTAAGAATGACATGTAAACTGGAAATATGAATACTTTCAGAATCATTCGATAGCAAAATTTATTTGTTATGCCTCTGATTATGAGTTTTTCGGCCATCGAGATTTCAGAAATTTATGTTGTATAGATTCCGCAGTGATGCACTTCAGGTTTTTATACTACGTACGAATGGATATTTGGTGTGTTGCGAAACGGTGGAAGAAGCAATATATATAATAAGAAATTTGGTTACAGCGTGCGATCATCAGGTCCAAACAATTTCTTATCAGATGGTTAAGGGTCATAAATCATCGTATCAGTAGATAGAGGGCCGATATTAAATTTTCGAAATATCTCAAATTAACGATTATTTGTTTGTAAGGTTGTGTGGTTGTTATTTTATATTTGCTATGTTCCTGAGATTCTCAAATTTAGTTAGAATTTGTGGGAATTTAATTCGAGTTTATTTTATATTATTAATGGACATTGTATGACAACTAATTTCCACCATCTAGTTGCAGTATTTGTGTGTTTATTTAATTGTTTTTTTATTTTTTATTATTCATCTTGTCCAGCTAATTAGCATTGTTATTGTTAATTTTACATCTTTATAATCTTGTGTGGTTTGCTTACACCTTATGACTTAATCCTGTGCTAATATTGATTATTTTGGATGCGAGGAATGTAATGATTTGTAAAAAGCCCATTTTAGATCAGAGCTGCAAGGGCTGGTATTGAAAATCTCGTTATTCCTGATGAAAAGGCCGTTGAAAGAGTGTACAAGACAGCACGAAAAGGCGGTAAATAATTTTTTATGTATTTCGCTTCTCGATTCTTCAAATTTAATGTTAGGAAGTTTACATATGATTTATATTCAGGGGGTGGTGTCGATCGCAACGGTGCAAAAGATGCGGAGGGAAAGCAAATTAATTGGAGGATCGGTGAGCTGGAGTGGGAAGCGTGGATGCGTGTGCTAGATAATGCGGTATGTATTCTACTTTGTATATCTGGCTCAGATTTTAAATTATGGTAGTAGAAAACCAAATTTTCATGTCCTCATAAGCATTGTCATAACCCAAAAGCTTCTAAATTCTGTCAATTTGAGGTACATTTAAAAGCGTTTCTTTCATCTATACC